CAGTGCTTTCCATTTAGAGCGCGAAAAATTTACTCTGATTTTAGTAAGTCTAGGCGGGGTGTTACAAGACCGAGTACAACTATGACTGGGTCCTACAACGGTTGAGACTAATGATAAGGCCTGATAAACAACCTTCAGTCATTGTCAGTGACCGGGAGTTGGGGTTGATTACTCCTATTCAGAGGAATTTTTCAACGACGCCCCACTTACTCTGCACGTGGCACATCAACAAGGATGTGGAAGACAGGGTCTATCGGCTGACGTCCAAAAATAAGATCTTCGCGCAGAAGTTCACGCACGGCAAGTGGAAGAAGGTTGTCGAGGCGAACACGTGAAACAAGTACAAAATTGTCGTACAAGATATGGTTGTTACATACACGAAGTTTCCTCGTGTGTTGGATTATGTGGATAAGACATGGCTAGTGCACAAAGAGAAGTTTGTCAAAGTGTGGACGGACACTGTCTTACATTTTGGCAACACAACGTCGTGTAGGGTGGAGAGTTCCCACGCTACGTTGAAGCGGTGGCTTAACACGTCGATGGGTTCGCTCGACACGGTTTGGGAGAAGATTGAAAAGGAGATTGAGTCTCAACTGACTAAAGTTAGGTATATATTCTTTAAGTTATACATCCAGACTGTGTTTGTTATTAATGCATTAATTATAAATTTGAATTGAGTCTAATGTTATGTAACGTATTACCAGGGAGACGTTGGAGTCTTCGAAACTCAGGATGAGTACGGGCTACAGGGGATTCCCTTTCGAGCAGTTGAAACTACGAGTCTCGCATTATTGTATGGATATATTGAATGATGAGCTTCAGAAGATGCGAGACTTCTGCAAAGTTGTTTCTGATCTGTGCGATTGTGCGCTAAAATACACTCATGGACTTCCTTGTGCCTGTGATCGAAGGGAGGCACACACTGAAGGTAGACAAATTACGCCCAATGACATCCACAGGTTCTGGAGCACACTAATGGTGACAGAGCCAGGTATACTTGCGAGATTAATAAAATTATAGAACATCATGTAAAGAATATAATTTTTTTAAATTTTGTTTAATTTTTTTTTTTACTCCAGGTATTGCTTCGTTTATAGAATTTTTGATAGAGCATATTGTATAATTTTTTAAATTTTCGGTACGGACAGGTCAGTAGAGTGCATCGGCGAGTGGATGGACTGATCATGATTATTTTCGGCGGCTTGCCGAGGAGGTTGAAAGCGGCCGATCCTGCGACTGTATGGTACCTGAACCATGTCATCGCCTCTCAACTTCATCCTGATCAACAGGGATACCCAGAACGTGAAGTGATAGAAAATCCGGGAGGTCGCCCCAAGAAAAAAAAATTCAACAAAACGCGATCCATCGAGATGGGAGTACACCATTGGAGGGCGTACGGCAGGGCGTAAAAGCACTTCTTTGTGTGCTCCATCGCAATCGGAGTACACAGAAACAGGTCATCGACCGGGTCGTAAGAGCACTTCTTCGTGTGCTCCGTCGATGTGAGAGTACAGGGAAAGAGGTCGTCCGGTGGGTCATACAAGCACTTCTTCGTGTGCCCCGACAAGCTCATCGTCTCAAGATCCGACAGGTAATTTTATTTTATTTTTTACTTGAACGATGACTAATTATGTTTGTAAATTTAATTACCTAAATAAATTGTGATGTGAAATTATTCTTATATTATAGATACTTTCGAGACAGATTTCTTTCAATATCGACATTGTGGTAGGATTCCCTACGTAGTTCACAGCTACGTACAAAATTATCTGGATGTGACATCGGACGGGAACTGCGGATTCCGGGTGGTTGCGAGTTACATTTATAGGGTTTAGGAGATGTGGCAACTGGTAATAACTAATGTTGCAAATGAGGTTGTAGCCAACACACATTTGTACGCTCCATTTTATTGTAATGGGGTCGACGTCGCAATTGATCGTATAAGATGGGACGGGGGTCCTTGTGGCTAGGAGCATTGGATGGATGCTTATGGCAAGCTCGTTGCTATTGCTACACTGTTTAATGCAGTTGTTGTGTTGTTAGGCTATGGTCCCAACAATAACAATATGAATATGGCTAGTATGACGGTATTCCCGCTCCGTGCATCATCCATGGCTACACGACCTGACAGTGAGATCGTTATAGGTCATCTTGGTTCCTACGAGCACTTCATTCGTGTGAATCTGTATTCTGATTTTCCATTGCCGCCTATGTGCATGTTTTGGGAGAGATTCCGAGATGTTCCGGTTGCACATTGGCCGGATCAGTACCAGAGCAGGTTCCAGTTGTGGCATGATATACGTATTGCAGCTAGAGTATAGATTGTGATATTTGACATTCATGATATTTTCATTCATTATGAGTATATATTCGTACATTCATCATGTTTTCATGCATTCATCATATTTTTTTGTTTGGATGAAAATAAAATTAACTAACCACAAAAAAAAA